TCAATACTAAAACAGAAGGGAGGAGGATAACGTATGAAAGAAAGACTCCATCCAGCAAAGAGTTAGGAGGAAAGTCGAGTCTTAGCAAATGGAATTGCAGGCCTTGGACTGAGTCTGGGTGGGAACTACGGCATCCAGGAGTAGCGGACCCAGCGGCTGCTCCCAGATGCAGCTGTGGGACACAGCCCACAATGGAGAGGGAAAAACAGAGCAGCTGCCATGGGGGAAACCCAACCCATACTCCCTGGGAAGCTACGACCAGGAGGGACAAGGCAAAGTCAAAAGAGCAAAACTCTGGCACCTCTCAGAAAAACCAGCAAGGTGAGAAGGACTCTCTCATCCCAGATTCCGGTTCCTGACACTTCTGATAGCTACAAAGGTGACTCTGATGACAGAGTGAGCCACCCATTGCTGTCCCTTCCACGTTATCTAAAAGTACGATCTGTAGGTTAACTATCTAATACTGTACTTGTTTATAAATACATCTTAATCAATACATGTTTTACCATTACCATGAACTTTATGCTTTATGTTTTCTCCTTCCTAAGTGGGTCAAATTCTTCACCAAAGATACAAAGATCATTCTGCATACTTTCATACTTGGCCTATATTCACATGTCATTGTCTGGTTTTTTTTTGAGACAGTGCCTCTAAGTTGACAGGAACTTGGTGATCCTCCTGCCTTAGCCTCTCAAGTGGCTGGATTACAGGTAAGTGCCACCATGTCAGGCTTGTCAGTCTTTTAGTAATAGCTAAAATGTACATTTACATCCTATCTTGTTATGAGGGGGACTTGATATAGCTAATTAAAATGCATGTAAACAAACAGCAAAGAATTAAATCAATTTTTAAAAAGCAAGACCAAGTGGAAATACTGAAAAGTGAAATAAATTCACTGCAGTTAGTATCAGCACAGCTATATATGCTTTACACAGAAACTCACATTGCTGACTATCTCACTTTAGATACTATAGTGCCTTAGGAATCCATGCAACAGTCCTATACCTAGTTTACAGAAAAGAAAATCAAGATTTAGAGGATAAAATATTTTGCTAAAGACTCTATAACCAAATCGTAAGTTAGAACTAAATGCGGCTCTTCCAAGAGCTGGAAGTCAGGTTTCCTTACAATACATGATATGTTTCTGCAGATCAACAGAATAATTATACGTAACTGTAGCTTCTGGGCCAATCCCCTCAGCTCTGAACCCCAGTTTTCTCTGTAGCACAATGGGGGTGCACTAGAACTCTCCAGGATCCATTTCAGCTCTGATAATCCCTATACTGATTGGAATCTGTCACTCTGCAAGCTACTGAATTATATCTATGTTGACTCGTTTTTTTTGTTCTTTTTACTTATATTTTTAATCTGAAAGTTTATTTCCAGTAAAACTATAATGGTACCTCAGTTCATGAACTTAATCTTTTCCACAATTCTGGTCCCAACCAAGTTGGACAGGAACTAAATCAAATTCAATGGGTAGGCTCAATGTTGACCTTATGGGGAAATTTGATTCAGTTCTCGTCCAATTCGGTTTGAGATCAGAATCATGGGAAGAATTAAGTTTGTGAAGCAAGGTCTCACTGTAATTTTGTGGACATTACTAAAAAACTGTAAGTCAAAGTTTTTTTTACATTTGGTTGTAAGATTAATCCAGACTCTAAAATATCAGCTTTTGAAATGACAGGCCATATGGTGGAGCCCTACATCCAAACTGTTAGAATTTCTTTTTATGTTATGCATATATTGCATGAGTGCCTAAATGCACTTTAGTAATAATCACAGTCACAGAAAACTAGTATGAAGATTCCAAAAGTACTGTAATTTCACAATAGCTAGGAATTCAGCATATTTTAAATATTGATAGCTGAGGCTGCACATTTCAGGGAAGAATTAGAGCTCTATCCTCAGCTTATGTGAAGGAACCACCCATCAGCACCGCTCTAAAAATTCCTGCTTATTTCTGACCTCCACGATGAAGAAATCAGAAGTGAGCACCAAGAAGGTCACCAACAGCAATCAAAGGGCTTTGGTAGTAACCCCAAGCCCTAAAGAACCTAACAAGGTCCTGAGTGTTCCCAATGGACTAAGCCCACAGTTAAGGGTTTGAAGGAGAAAGTGCACATTCTGAACGTTCTCCTAGGGTCTCACCTCACAAAGGGCACCTGAAAGGCAGTTTCTATAGCTTTGTTTTTTTTTGTAGACCCAATGTTAACCAGATAGTGCTGACACACACTTCAGGGTCAGACAGACACCAATTCAAACTCTGGCTCTTCTCCTGGCCACTCTGTGACCTTGGGTAAGTCAGCCCTCTGAGTCTCAATGACCTCACCTGTAAGAACACCAACACCACTTGCCTCTTGGGTAGGACTAACTCCTCAATGAATGACAGATCTCACTACTGATCTTATTATAAACTATGAAGAATGACTGTCACCACAGTAAGGCAGCAGGATCTGCTGCTGCAGAAGAACTTCTATTGTGCGACAGTGCCACTGCCTAGGGAATGCTGCACCTAGGTTCTGGGAAAACAAACACATGAAATGATGCCTCAGTGTCTCTCCTGGGCTCTAACCAGTGGTGCCTCCCTCCATCCCTGTATGTTCTAGAGAAGGTGCTAAACATAAGAACTGCAGGTCGCCCACCCCAGGTCTAAAAACGTTCAGACAAGATTGCTCCTCCCATCCTGGGAGCAGGTACAGGCTGTCTGAGTCAAGCTTCTCTCAGCAGATGCACCCTCAAGGGCTTTCGCTGTCTAACACCAGGCAGTGGTGCTGCTCAGAACCTGCCTTCCCAAGCTGTCTCGGTTGGGAAGTGGGTAGTAGACCCTGGAAAGGGATGGCCAAGGGAACCCAAGCCCACAGTCAGACCTTTTCCAGGCTTCTCAGGAAATGTAAGAATGACCGTCAAGCACCACCTGCCATACAAAAGGTTTTGACAAGGAAAGAAGAGTTAGTTTACAAGATTTTTGACTCTGCTGAGGAACTCCTTTTGAGAGGGCTTTCTTTCAGAGCAATATTAAGATTTTTCGCTCTCATCCTTTATCACCTAATCAACAGGTTTGCAAACAGACCCTTCTGCTCATTTACTCTCAAAGCTTGGAAGCAGACAGAAAACTAGGACACTCCAATAGCAGTCTCTCTGCACGGTGAGCTCTTGTATTACCATTACCTTTTAGATCTATCTTTCTCCTTCCAGAATAAACCTTAAACCTGCCCCAAGCAATGAAATCCTCACTCAGAAAGGCCCAAAGGGGCCACCTGGGGGCTGGGGATTTAGCTCAGCAGCACAGTGCCTGCCTGGCAAGTGCAAGGTCGTGAGTTCCATTCCTGGTACTGGAAGAAAAACGAAAACAAACAAACAAACCAAAGGGGCCACCTTAAAGTTCCATTAATCATCGAATTTCTTTTACCCTTATATATAACTGCCAATTCTAGTAACAATGAATCTGCTTAAAACCCCCTTCAAAGAAAGTATGATTCCAAAAGTCAAACAGAAAGCTTAGGGAAATATGTCCCTCAGGGGGTTAAACCCTGAGGACAGCAAGAGAATCCATTAGAAGTGGGGTGACTTAACTATTAACACCTTCCCCGCATCTAAAGAAAAAAGGCAGAGGTAAAGTGAAACAGAATTTCTCAGAAGAAAATTTCACTCAAAATTCTTCCGATGTGGGCATAAGAGGGTGAGGACTCCTTACTTTCTAAAAAACTTAAATTCACAGGAGCAGAAGTAAAACAGTGTTTGCCAGGGGTTAAGGTGAGGAGAATGGGGAACTATTAGTCAAAAGTTACAAACTTACAGTTATAAGATGAATAAATCCTGAAAACAGTGTATAGTATCATAACTATAATTAAAATACTATACATTTGAAAAATGCCAAGAGACTAGATCTTAAGTATTTTCACCACACACAAAGTGGGCTGATGGGTCTGTTAATTCACTTCAGCGTGATTCCACACATTTACATCAAATAATCACGCTATACAACTTAAAATATATACAATTTTTATTTGATAATTACACTTCAATAAAGCTGAGAAAACAAAGTAGGAAGTTCAAAGGTTTGCACTAATTCCCAAACATATATGTTGCATTGCGCTGGAATCAAATCCCAGCTGAGAAATCCCTAGCATGGTAACTGCACCCAAAATGAGAACAGTTTGCACAAGATCAGAACACCTTGGGGGAAAGGGGCTGGCAGCATCTAGTCTAACCTCACCCATATGTGGATTCCCAGAACGTGCATATGCATGGCCATGTAGCTTCTGAATGCTTTCCGTACCTTGAATCTGCTGCTAATACACTGGTGTGGTAGAAGCGGTTATACCTGACAAAGCACAACAGTTCTACATAAGCTCTTTTCCTGAGAAAGCAAAATGCTTTGTTTTACTCCAAAGATTAAACTCTTGCTTGCACTCTATTTCAACAATACATACTTAAGAGTATGAAAGACTCACCTCCATTCCTGGCAAAAAAACACACCCCAAGTCTGACCAGCGCTACAGTGTCCTAATTCATTTACTTACCGCTCCTCTATACAAACATACAGATTGCAACACTTTTCTTTCCTGGGGTGCAAGTTTATGAGGGACATGACTGCCATCCAGGAGGCTGCACCTAGCATTTCCTAAGTTGCTTAACAACAAACAAAGCCAGAGGAGGTGGGGCGTCAATCAGTAAGTTCTTTGTGCATTGAACTCTGGTCAACTGGGTACTTATGTACTACGACAATGTGAGAAAATAAAATTTGAAAATTAACGCAAATACATACACATTTCTTTACAATTCCTTGCAGTCAACCTTTGAGATTAAGAGGTACCATTAGCACAGTGAAAAATTTTTTACACAATTAGTATAATGCACTTATGTGTGTTGAACTGGGCATGCACATGGTGCATGTGTGTAAACCTCTGTGAATATGTATGTTTATGCACACATCTATATGTGTTGTTTATGTGTGTTTTTCACATATGTAGTTCACTCTCTGGGTAGTATCGTACCTGCCACTGGTTTCCTGCCTGACCAGGCACGTACGGTGCTGGAAGGCTCCGAAGGCTGTTCTTCACAGGGGATCCCCCGAGGGAACTTCCCACATCCCCAGCAGAGGACTCAGCAGCCAAGGCCATGGAGTACTGCGGGTAGTTGTACAGATTGTTGTAGTACGGAAACAGCGGCGGCTGGTAAAAGCTGCTGTAGTAGGTGGGATCCGCAACCAGATCAGGTGCGTTCTCCATGTGCCCTCTGCTGGTTGCAACAGGAACATCCTGGAGGAGCATACGGCCCTCTACAAAGGAAAACAGAAAAAGAAGCAACAGAGTATTAGCACGATCACAGACCTTCACCTCTAAACCTTGGCAACACATCACATTCCTCCTCAGAGCTGTAGAGCGAACTATTAGGCAGAGGGCAAAGCCACCTGCTGCTGCTACAGGCAAAATACAGGCTGGGATCACTTGGGTGGCACAGCTGAAAGACCTCTGCTGAGTGTTTTTCACCAAGAATACCAAAACATTTTAGAGACGATTTTAATTACATAAATGCTGGTAGTATAACTTCAAGCCAGAAATTCCCACTCTAATGTCAAGAAACTAGATATCAAATCTAGTAAACTCACTGGCTCATTCTTACAACAAAATTAATTGTTCAACTTACATAAGGAAAATAGATACCCCAGCATCCTAACTATGGTAGCCATACAGGTATGTCAGAAAGTCAAAACAAGAGGCTAAGAGTTTAAGTATATTTGCCCTTAACTCCCTTCCATGGTTGACTGTGTCCTTTAAAAGTCTGGGCAATGGTATGGACCAGAGTTTGGCAAACCTCCTGAAGGGCAGTGAGTGACTGTTTGGGATTTTGTGGAACATTCAGTCAGTGTTGGAGTAGTTATGTTGCAGTAAAACTTTGTTCACATAAATGGGAAGAGAGCTGATGTGGCTCTAAGACTGTAGTTTGCCAAACTCTGGCAGACTAAACTGTTTATTGTCAAAATAAATGACAAATTCCTTGCCCATTCATTCAAGAGACATTTATTAAGCGAAGGTGTAAGACCTGAGCCGAGTGACTGGAATGGCTGCCGGATGATCGCCGTCCTGCCCGCAGAGAGCCTCCGTTCTAGGATTAAAAACACATCAGGATTACAGACCCCACCACTACCCAGTATCACAGAAATGTCCATGAACTGTTACAGAAATTCAGAGGAAGGAAAGATGATTTATGGCCTAGAAAGGAATTAGAGAACTGCATGGAAAAAGCTGCACTTGAGCTGCTCCTTAACAGAACAGGAAGCTAATGGAAACTCAAAAGAGGAAAGGAGTTAAGTGAAGCAAGAACGGGAGAATGAGGAGGAGAGTCTGAGGGATAAGCAGGACAGCCAGAAGGAAGAACTGGGTGAGAACATGCAGAGCTCCCCCGAAAGGTTTTCTGGAGCCAGCCTTGAGAAGGAAGTCTCCACAGCTCTCTGGACACTCTCTGGGAGAAGTAGGAACCACCGAGGATTTCTGAGCAAGGAAGTTACCTCATCAGAGCTGAGGTTTGGGAGGTTTTCCAAGCCCAGAGTCAGGGAAACCCAAGAAGTTAAGGTGGAGACCTCAGAAGACTGCAAACGTCGGAGGGTGCCTGGTTCGGGACATGTGAGGGCTGAAACCCAACAGAACTTCAGGGACATCAGCAAGGAACATGCACGGGAGACAGCAAGAGCCTGGCTATAAGGCAGGGGTTGTTCCGTGTAACCTAACATGCAGAAGGGCACGCAGGTGGAGGTGGGTGTGAATGTGAGCACCCTGAGATCTGTGCGTTTGGGAGATGCTGGGCCTGAAGCTGAGATTCAGGAGTCACCAGCTTGTGATGGCTTTATGCGGGGAATGAGGGGTGTGCGACCGAAGGCGGAATGGTAGAGAAGGGACAATGTCAGGGGATCGAAACGGACACGGATTCAGCCGGGGCCAGTGGCAGTGTCAACTGCGAAGAGATCAAACAGGCTCAGTTCTGGAAAAAGCTGACAGATGCTCCGGTCTTTAGGGACTGCATTTCAGCAAGGTAGAAGGAAGAGAAGCTGGCTTGCCAGACAGCTAGGACTGAGCAAGCAAGGAGGAAACGAATGAACTCAGCGAACGGCCTTCTCTGCCACCAGAAGGCAGGATCCACCAAGGGTCCCTTCCTGTCCCCTGTGCCTAGCACACTGCCAAAGTGGAAAGTATGCGCTGAAGGGATCGAAGAGTAATGGATTTTCAAGTAGCCTGGCATGAGAAATGAATGTGTGTGAAAAACAGACCCTCTACGGAGTCATAAAATCTTGCTGTTTCATTTTTAAAATGAGAGAAGGTTTAAGCATCCCTAGACAAGAAAAGGAGGCTACTGAGAGAAATTCCCAGCACTATGTATGCCACAAATAAGGTGCTCAGACAGCATCCACTGGCTCAATGTGCAGAGGGAGAAAGAGAAAACATGCTGGGGAAGGTGTAACTCAACAATGCGAGCTCCGGAAGCTATGTGTGAGACCTACAATAAAAACATCTGTGAACTGGGTGTAGCGGTACTCTAATCCCCGCACTCCGGGAGCCTGAGGGAGGAGGACAGCAAACTGAACCCCAGCTCGACGATTTAGTAACTCACTGAGAACATGTCTCAAAATTAAAAATAAACGAGAGCTAGAGTAGGAGGATGGAAAGGTGGGAGCCCAGCCTGGGAAACTTAGTGGCTTACTAAAACGTTATCTCAAAAAAAAAAAAAAAGAAAAAGAAAAAGAAAAGGGCTGGTGATGCAGCTCAGTGCAAATGGCCCTGGGTTCAATCCCCAGTACTGTGCAAAGAAAAAAAAAAAAAGCTGAGTGCAGTGGCGCACACCTGTAATCCCAGCACTCGAGAGGCTGAGGCAGGAGGATCATTGCGAGGAACAGACCAGCCTGGGCTACAAAGTGAGCTCAAGGCCAGCCTGAACTGCATAGCAAGACTCCATCTCAAAAAGACAAAAAAAAAAAGACAACAACAGTAAATTCTCACCTTAGAGCCAGCACTAAAATCGCTTTTGTCTGAAAGGGCACCCAACCCACCTGTCCTCGGCTTCTGTGACTGCACTGCCAAGCCACCTTCTTTATTCCTTTGCTTTCTTCTCCTCTTCCCACCCAGTGAGATGAGATGTTCCAATTTTGTTACTCTACACCCCGGATTTCACGGTCCGGGGAGCATGTGGCCATTTTCTCCTCCTGAAATTCCCCCCTTGTCCTTTCTCTTATTTAAAACACCAATTTGCTAACATTATCAGTGGGTTCTGAAATCAAATTCCTTAGTTTTCAGTGTCATATTTTTATTGTTTACCTGGCTGCAAAAGCAATATAAACTTCCCCAAAATGATTACGGTGGGTATTTTAATCAGAAAACACATGTCATAGCTCTACTACCCAATCGTAAGCATTGGTGGTTCATTTTTATAGAATCTCTGACTTGGGGAGGCATCTCAGATGCTTATTCTTGTTCCTGTAGTAGAAAGAAAATGAAGACCCCTTAGGGCTTGCCCTTCAGATACAATGTTCTTAATAGGAAAACAAAATACAGCAGGAGGTAAAGAATTCAACTGAAACCCAAGGACTCCAGCCTTCAAAGATCAGGGCACAGTTCCTGTATTTCTGCAGCATAACCTTCATCAAAAGCTTTCATCAAGCCTCAGTTTATCAAGCAACAAAATAATGGCAGTAATAACTCTCAAGGTAACAAGAAAATGACTTCAATAAACTGCATAGTAAACCTCAAATGAAATGCTATGTGAGGTCAAAGCAATGATTTGTTTTGCTACAGCTGCCTGTAATTAGTTAACAGCCCCATCAGTTGTCTACTTACACATATTTTATTTCCTCTTTCAAGTTATATTAAGCTTTAAAGAATAGACTGAGATATATGTTAGGAAAGTTAAGTTTCACACCAGTATTTAGATAATAAAAAATAAAACAAATTGAGTGTGTGACAGTAGATGAGTGCAAAAGCATTCTCTAAAAGTGAGGGCTTTTTTATAGCACTGTTTATAAACCACCAACTCTAGTTTGTTTTGTTTTTGTTTTGTGGGCTGGGGATCTAATCTAGGCCCTTACACATGTGAAGCAGGCGTTTTACCACTGAGCTACATTCCCCAGTCAAAATTTTTCTTTTTTTGGTTTTTTTCTCCGGTACCGGGAACCGAACTCATGACCTTGCGCTTGCCAGGCAGGCACTTTTGCCGCTGAGCTAAATCCCCAGCCCCAGTCAAAATTTTTCTATTTTGAAGTTCCAATTAAAATTCTGGGTCAATGTTAAACACAGCATTATGAGTCCCAGCTTTTATGTGCACATTATTGGTACATGGAAATTTCCCAAGGTTGAAATCAACACCCAACAAATTATATGTGTCTGCTCCAGTGACTTAGCACAAAGTATGATCCTCAAATCAATGTGGCATCAGCATCACCCAGGAACTTGTACAAACGAAGTACCATTTCAGGCCTTCCAAATCAGACACTCTTGAGACCAGGCCTAGCCATCTGAGTTTTAACAAGCTCTCAAGGGATGTGGACGGGCTCCAAAAATATTCCAAATCACTGATGTACTCTAAAAGCAACTCTCTACACATTCCTAAAAATATGTGATACTGGCATACCCTGACTGCATTACTGTGACAGTCCTATCAAGTTAAGACAGTACAAGTGAATTCCACTGTATAAAGAAGTTGGGCTTCTACCTAAATCACTGCAGGGTTTAGATCATAAGCTGCGTGTGCTATGTGTGTTGCTGCCACATGGTTCTGACTTTTGTGGAGTGCATTCAAGTTGTTCTTCATTTACTCTAACCAAAAGGACTAAACATCTACTCTATCTGAAAAATATTTATTAAGCACTTACTATTTCCCAGGGCACCTGGTTGGGGACAATCCTGCAAAGTCAAAGCTTCTGGACAATCCAGAGGACCAGGCAGTAAGTAAACATTTATTCTTGGCCGTAAGTTGTATTTTTATATTTATACTTAATTCATTCATTAAGTTATCATTTAATGATGTCCAAAAGTATGTCAGACAGTGTGTAAAGCGTAACGAATTATTTTAAATGTTTCATTTCCTCTTAGGAATTCGCAATGTGTTTGGGAGAGTGATCCACTGACTGAAAACCCTACAAAACACTAATCTGAATTGCCACGATGGAAGTATAGGTAGATCTCACCAGACAGCTTTCCATAACAGGGGAAGCAAAGGTATCAATGAGAGATGAGCTAGGATTAAGGCGATTTAGAGAGACGACGGGGAAACGCTCAAAAACGGAAAATGCTA